TATCCTGGCTTATGAATTCCAGAACATTGAAGTGCTACCAAATTTTTTTTTAACTGCTAATACTGTAAAGGGGAAAAGCAAATATTTACCTAATATGAAACTTATGCATAATTGTAATATGGTTGGATGTAATCAAAGTTATTTATTTATTTAATGATTGATTATTATACACAATTTTATTCTGCACATATCAGCAACAAAAAGAAATTTGATTCTTTCTACAGTGGATAAAAAGAATTAATTTAAGCAATTTGTGGTTCATCTAACATAAACAGGGGTGATTATGAGCCCAAGTCAAAATTCTGGAAAATTTCTTGAGTTCTTTCTTTTGTTGAGAAAAAACAAAAACAGTTTAAATTGAAAAATTAGAAAAAAATTTAAACAAGGCTTTTTTTCCTTTTTACTATTTACACATACCTATGATGACCTGGAGAAGTAATTAAAATTTACAAATATGTCCTTCTTTCTTGAGTTTATGATTATAACAACTATTTACTGATAAAAAATGAATATTAATTATGAATATAAGCTTATAAAGTATCTCTCTGGCTCTCTCTTACAAACAAATAAAATAAACTGTGTTTTAAAGTTCTACCTTTGAAAATTTGATTTCTGGAAACTTCTGTGATTAATGTTTTTTTTTAAACGCCTGGACCTTCGACCTCCGGATCACTGTTAGCGAAATATCCAGATTTTTTCCGGAGCACAATCGGCACTGTTATTCTAATTTTGATACAATGCTGATTCGTTAAATTTAAAAAATAATTCAGTGTAATTTTCTCAATCAATCCCTCAAGAGCATCGGGTCTTTTAGAAAAGGATTTTACGAATATACATAGATATATTTAATAAACTTAGAAAATATAAGGGCTCACTTTCAGTAGAAAACAGGAATAGTTTATTACATGTTTGTATTCCTTTTCACCCAGCATCAGCTTAACAGTGTTTCGCCTGGAGCGATCATTCGACATCTCCTGTCTTATTTTAATTATTTTAAATACTAACTCTAGGTATGACCCCCAGGGGTTTCCAACTTACATGAGGCCGCGGGCCACAATTAAAAACACAAATCAAATGGCGGGCCACAACTTTATCAAAATTTTATGAAGGACTTTTTATGTTTGAAAGAACATTAAATATTACTGTCAGATTTTTAATAAGTTGTACAAAACAAAAGTATTGAATTCCAAATTAAAATAAGTAGATTTTTAAAAATATTTAATTGTTATTATTGATATTTTTAAAAATATTAAATAAATAATAAAAATTCGGGCTATAATAACTTTAATGTGCACCTATATATTAAACAATGATTTTTTTAAACGTCTGGACCTTGGATCTCCGGAAACTTCCGGATCACTGTTAGCAAAAATTCCGGAAATCCGGAATTTCCAGAGCACAATCAGCCCTGCATAAAGGCTTAAGTTGAGTTACTTACTATTAACTTAAAATGACTGTTTTTTGAACTTCTAAGTTAATATGTTATTTTCCTGGCATTCAAGATTTGGTGAATTTCTATTTTATTTTTTTTTCTCGAGCAAATGTCAATAAACTATACTGCTGTCTGTAAGATATTAATGAATGTAACTAAAGTATACAAAAATTTTTTTGACTATTTTAAAGACTTTAAATTTGAAGAAATCTTTTGGTTCGAATTGTCATGTTTGAAAAGAATCACCCATATATATATATATATGTATGTACTTAAAAATTTTAAAGCGAGCAACAACTTTTTTTTTTATTTATTATATCTATTTTAATAAAAAATTGAATACATAAAATCAAATGTAAAAAAATAATAATAATGGCAATTGTTACGCTTACATCTAACTTGTCAACAATGGTGTAGTGTGTATACCACTACAAAAATACAATTCCAATTTTCACTACTATATAAGACATGTTAACTAGATTCTATGACGGAGTACTATTCATAGATGATGGTTGACATTGTCAATAACTGCTATCCCCACAATGGCAAATCAATAAATAGGATGACAATAAAATCAATGTAATGGACTAGTCAAATTTACATTTTGTGACATACCTTAATTAACTATTAACCAAGCTAAAAGCCAAAACATCAATATTTTCCTCATTAGGACCTCAGCTTTGCTCTGAATAGAAACAAAAACGAGCTCTGAAGTTTGCAAAGAAGTTTTCTGAAACATACACAAAGGAGAATTTGTTACATAATAGAACTGATGAAACCTCTTTCATTGCTTTGGAGATCCTTTCTAATGAGGCAAAGAAAAACAATCAAACCAAAACAGTTAAGAGGTGGCTCCTTGTGTATTGCAGTACATTATGATTATGAGCTAGTATCGATTCTCATAGTGTGGCTGTCAATTGCATCGAATACAACAGTTTGTTCCTAAACCTAAACATATTTGTTAATCAATATATTGTAATAAAGATAAGCAGAAAGTAAAATTTTTAAAAAGAAAAAAATTTAAAAGTGATAAGTATCAAATAAAAGGTAAAAATAAAATATCCCTACATATTTCCTTTAAACTAAAAATTAAATCACTGTCATTTTTAAATTAATCATTTTGTATAAAAGCAACAATAAAATGTATTAAATGTGGGGAAAAAAATTCTTTAGGTTGTAAAACAAATTATATGTTTAGAAAGTTGATTTTAAAAACTAAAATTTATTTATAAAGGTTGGTTGATGTATGATGAAGAAAAGAAAGCAGAGAAACAAAGCGGAATTCAAAAAAGCCACCTGAATAATTTGTCCAAATCAATATGTGTTCAAGAAAACTTCCAGAAAAAGAGAAGTTATTACATGGTGGAACTGAAAGCAGCATCCCAACCCCAACATCTTCATGAAATCATGGACACCATCGATGATTTCAGAAAGCACTACAAGTTTAAAGAAACATCGTTTCCTGCAAATAAACAAGTACAAGACATCATATTGTTAAAACCCTATGCAAATAAATCTTTTACATAAAAGAAGATATTTTGACTGCACTTTTAAAGGAAAGGTAAGGGCTATAAGCCCGTCCAAATAAAACTACATTCTATGAAAGCAAGTAATTAAAATCCAATTTGAGTCTAAAAGATTTATCTCAGTGATCTAAATTCAAAATAAGTTCTTTTATAATTTAGACCTTATATTTGCTCACTGTGAGTTTAAGAAATTCACTCCCAATTAAATATTTTTATCAAAATAAAATTTAGTTTCTTATTCAGTTTTGTATTGAGAAACAAAATACATTTCAAAATAATCAATGCATCAAATGAAAACCTTTCATTAAAAAGGTTTTATTAATGTAAATGACTTTTTAAATATTGCAGTAAAAATGTTTTCTAATTGCAAAAGGCATATTTAAAAAGAAGTTATATTTCTTATTTAATTGCACAAATTTACATCTACATCTCTGAATAAGTAACTAAAAACAAATCAATCAATGAAATTTTTTACGCAACTGAAAAATATTTCAGCCTTTAACTGCATCACAATTCATAAGCGATTTATAATTAAAAAAAGTAAATGATTAAATGGTTGCAAATATTTTGCTTGTTGCATCAATTCACTTAAAGGAAACTTTTGATTTTTCAAAAACTTTAAGATAATTACTATCGAAATACTTAAATAGAGTGTTTAATTATTACTTAAAAAAAAACACCATTACATGATTATAAAGTAATATTAGAAGATACTAAGTAATATTTCAAATTTCTGTATAACATTATCATTCCTTATTGCTTAGTCATGGCATTAAATTTATTTATCGTTTAATCAATAAATACTCTCTTTTGGTGTATAACTTATTTAAGAATATTGATTACTTATTTCATTGCGTCAAGTTATTACAAACTAGAACTCAGATCTCCAAAGTGCATGCTGCCACATCACTTTGAAGTGAAACAAAGGGTGCTGCTGGGTAATCATAACTTCCAAGTTTTTAATAGTATATTACTATTCAAAAAGAAAAAAATATTCAAGCTAGAGTTGATATACATTTGAATATATGAATGATATGAGAATTATTTATCCTAAAAAAACTTCAAAAAGCTATATAAAGGTTCTCACTTTCGTTCTCATTTTCGACAGCTCTTTCAAAGAATACGTGCCATTGCAAAAAATATTGAAAAAAAAAATAGAAGCATTTATTTTGAGCTTTATTCATTGAAATGAAAAGTTACGTAATGAGCAACAAGTTTAATTATCAAAATTATATTTTCTCCTAATATTTTATTAACCTCTTAACTAGTGAAGTATAAAGAAATATTGAAAAAATATATATTATAGTTCCTACATTCAATTTTACTGTCAGGATAAGATAATAATAGGAACTATACTGCCAAGGAGCTAATAATTTTAGGTAAACATACGTGTACCACTGGTTTTAACTAAGTAAGAGAATTTAAATATTTCGATTATTAAATTGTACCTTAAGTAGGAACAAACATGCATACTGTTAGATTATGGTAATTTTAAATACAATAATGAATAGATTTAATAATTATTTAGAAAAAATTGAAATTTCAATAAATACAAAATAATTATTTTAATATTATAGTTCCAAAATTATTTTTGTTATGCAAACCACACAAAATAAATAACTATTGAAAATAATCTAACATTAATTTTTAAAAAATATCTAATTCTAATATCTAATCTTCACATCTTGAAATCCTCAGAAAGCTTAAACCTCCACAAATGTTTCAGTCAGGTTAGAACTATAAATTTTCTGACAGTGTGTTTATAGAAGCTAAGAAGTTCCACATATGAGGACTGAAGAGATTAATACTTATATTATTATTAATATCTTTTAACTTATTAAAATACTTGAGTGGATTTTAAATAAGAATTGTTTTCACTCACTTACATCCACAGTTTCTGTTTTGTGGGATTGCATGCGCGAAACATAGACTTTTTGTAAGAAACAAGCGTTATATGCTGCCATAAAACAATTCTGAATTTCATAAGGATGCTAAGACTAGTTATTATTGAGTAGTATATAAAGAAATAAAATGAAGAAAGATCTCTTTTCGGAAGTATTTTATTTTGAAGTCATTAAAGAAAACAGCCCCAACAAAGTATCTAAAAAACAAATGAGAGAGTGGCAGTGATTGCTATCAGAATACAAATGCATTTCAGTCGTGGCACTTTGTGAATGAGAGACAAATATTGGTTAAATTATTTCTTTTTTCCCTTGCGAAGAGCTTTGACTTTTGCAGCTGAAGCAGACTGCTTAGAAGCTGTTAAACTTGAGCCTCCAGCTTTAGCCCGTAACTCATTTTCAACATTGGCTCTTATACTTGATTCTAAGGCCTGCAACAGAAAAAGTTTGTATCAAATGAAGCAGTTTATAATTTTTTAATAGGAAAAAAGGTAAGTAAATAAAAACCTTTTGTAGCTTTTTTCTTTCAGAGACACTTTTCTTAGGAGTCTTTTTGGTAACACTGCTACCTAATATAGGAATAAATATATTTAAACTAAAAAAATATATATATAGAAATTAATACAAGGAAAAGTTCAATATGGATGACTTTAAACGGTTAGCGCCCAACGTCAGGAAAACTATTTCTTCTTCTAAAAATATATATTGAGGTAGGACAATTATTTTAGTGTTATCATTTGTCTAGGAGAATCAAAACATTTTCACCTTCTAAGGTTGGGAAATATTATAATTTTTTTTTTTAAATTAAAAAAAAAAGAAATAAAAACTGATTTATTTTAATTGATTTGTTAAATTGATTTTTTTTTTATTTAAATCGTAATTTTTGTATTTTTTTTTTTTAAATTTTTATTTTTGCCAAAGCACCCAATAAAATATTTTGAGATTATTTAACATTATTTAAAAATAATGAATAATTCTTATTATAATGGCTAAAATAATTATTTAATTATTAAAAACAAATCATTGAATAAATAAAACCAATTCATGGTGAATAAATAAATTATATTTTTAAAGCTCAATTTGTTAATGAGTGTTAAAGATTAGGAGATTATTTGCCAATTATATATCTAATGAAGAGTAAATTAGTTTAGATCAGAAAGCATTACTGAAAAAAATTGTTCAAAGTTACTTTGGGTAGAACTAGTCTTAATAAACGCAAACTACATATACAAACCGCATTTAAATAAGCATAAAACTAAATGGATATAATTATAATACGTTTTTTGCCCACAAGTTATTTTATGCAGATTTAATGAAAAATCATAATTCAAAAGTTTAAGGCCACTCTTATCCCAGTTCAGTCCATTTTAAAACATAATAATTTACTTGTATATCCCTTTCACTATTTTTCAGTAAAATACCAACATTATCACTGAAATCAGACTTTTTATTAAAAAAAAAAATAAACTCACAGCTGGAATACATGTATTAATTCTAATGCATAAAAAATATTTAAAATTTCATTAATGGCTTTCAAAAAAATCTCAATAGATTTAATCAGTGATAAAAAATTAAGTGATTTAAATCAAGTGTCATTCCAACGCTGCACCCAACATAATTTATTAATGATTCAGAGATGTGGGACAAGATATATGACTATAAGGAAATGGGAGCTAATAGTAGAAAATAACCATTTAGTTTAATATCATATTTTATACCACTTTTTTCGATGCGTAAAGGCACTTTTTGTATCACTTAACAATAAAAAGTACAAAGAAATGGGGATCGACAAGACTCTAAAACTAGAACAGAATTTAAAAAACTTTCAGTGTATCACTCCGCTTATGTTATATTTGTTAGAAGACAATGTGTGAACCGAACTGACTTAATATTCTAGGAAGTATTATTGTATTTAAATTTGCATGTAACTTCACCCTTCATAAGATTTTTCTGTATTTATTAAATTTTAAAAGATTAAGAGTCTTAAATCGATTAAAAGTAATTAATATTACACTATAAATAAAGTGCAAGGGTTGCCATTTTTTGAGTGTTATCTTCAGTTCTTTATGTTTTCAGCTGAATTAAATGGATTTAAAGTAGCACAATTCATGTTGTAAACAGTACAATAACATGATGAAAATATAAATTGGAAGTAGTGATCAGGAAGTCTGCAAAATTTGATCACTAATGCCACCTGTGCTTTGCTTTACAGGATGCGGCAAAAAAACTAGAAGTTAAGTCACTTCTTTTTCATTTGTGTGCTTATTTCTTCTGTCTGCTAATTTAATTAAAAAATATTTTATAATATATCTCCTAGCTTACTTATTGTTTTTTGACGTTTTTGCAATGTCAAGCAAAAGATCTACTATTTTAGAGCTATTTAAGTAAAAAAAAACAGAAGCGTGAAACTGTTAATTTGCTCCGTACACAAGTGTTAGGCCTTTCTAAAGCAATTGCTTTAGCAAAAATGGGATAGATTCAGGGTTTTCGCTACGGTAGCTTTTTTCGCAAAATACGAAAAGACCCCTCAAAAATGCTAAAATTCAGCAAAGCATTTTCGCATTTTTGCTAAAGGATTTTACTAAATTCCATTAAAAAAAAGCTTCCGCGAATATTATTTATTATTATTATTATTCTTATTTATTCTTCTTTGATAAAGACACTTGAGAGTTTGAAAACAGATGTTACAAAATGCTCATCCTTAGGTACCTTCAGTTATGACTGGTGTTAGAGCGGGGGTTGCTGCTCTGTTCAAAAACCAAANTTATTATTTGTTATACTTTGTTAATTTATTCCTTTTTAATAAAGTTAAATTAAAAATCGTTTGTCCAGTTTTTTTTGTCCCACCCTCTAGTACATGGGTTTCCATCTACAGAAGCGGTAGACATAATGCTCTGTTCAGTGATCCAAATTGAACGCAGTCCATTGTTGGTTGGAGATCACTAGAATCAGACACAAACCACCATAAAATAATTATCAGTATTCCTGTAGACTAGTTACTGATCTACACTGACAATCAATGGAAAGGTGATATTTTTTTTAGACAAATGGAATAAGGAACAAAAATTGGTTTCGTCAGTCAAAAGAAGTTTGCTTTTATAGCTTCTGGTGAATTTTTTACTTTTTCGTGCAAAGGAAATAAATTAGAAAAAACAAACAAATAAGAATGCTGTATTAGTGACATCGTTGTCAATTTAATGATCAAGATTTTTTTTAATCAAAGTTTCTGTTTCAATTTCAATGCACTGCTCACTTTTTAATTTTTGCTTAATATTTGTTCCATCTATGGTAAATATGAAAGATTCAATCTGCTTGTTAAAAGAAACATTAAATTTAATTTTTTAATTAATTTACAAAATTTAGATAGAGCTGAGTTTGCACCACTGACAATCCAACAATAAACATACTTCAAAAAAAATTTTTTTTTAGTTATCAATAATATTTTATTTTAATAAGTTTTTTTCCAATATTCTATCTATAAATATGTAACTTCAAATTAGTTTGACAAATCTAAATATTTTAATATTATCTTAATTTTTCTCGTTTCATAAATTTTCAAAAATCTAATAAGGGCAAGTAAAAGTGTCAATTTTTTTTTCAGGTGCCGAACCTTTTGACCCCTTCCTGCCATTAACTTCTCAATAGTCAACATTTTAATATTAAATTACCAAATTTAATTACTTCATTGGATTATTATTATTTTTTTTAAATAGCGACAGACACTGAACTTTCGTTCTTCGCCTTAGAAGATGCCGGAAGTGTTGCTCATTTATCATTACCCAGTGGGCACCTGTGAACCAAAGTCACACTGCCACAAATACCCGTTCATAGGGTGGGCCACATTCATGCATTCACATATCAGAAGACAACAGAGAGAGAGAGAGAGAGACATCCATGCCCAGAGCGGGATTCGAACCCGCAGCCATTGGTTTAGCAGTCAGGCACGCTAACCACTTGGCAGGCTCATTGAAATTTGTGCACTGGGCTGAGAGTAAATTTTATTGTACACCTACCAAATAATCTTTTGAGAAAGGATATATTAAAATATGTAGATATCAGCAATTTATATCCTACATATGAACATTTAAGTAATTCAAAATATTTTGAATTGATATTTTGTTACGAGATTTCCTTGCAGAACACCACTTTAGTTTGAAATCATAAAACAAAAAAAATATTTTAAAGTAATCAGACCCATACCAATTGTTGTCAAGAGTTGTAAGTTATGAGTAATGTTTACATAATAAGTAACCTTTATAAAATATTTGTTGATTGGATTTTTATTAAATACAAAAATGTAAAAAATAATGACATAACAAAAGAATGACTAATAAATTTTTATAAAAATGTGTTTTTAATAACTTCTTTAAAATAACATAATTTACTCTAAGTTTTGCAAACTATGATCCGTTGGATAATCAATTTAAAAAACTTAGTAATTAGGATATGTAACACCGGGAATGAAACTGATAAACTAAACAAAAATTTAGATTTAGAAAAAAAACGAAAGGGTTCATTTCATCGACAATCAATTCTTGTTTTCATAGCAGCAGACAGCCTTAATTTGTGGCAGGGGGAGTTCTTACAACAGTCAAACATAATTAACCCCTTGCTGAATCTATTTGTTCTGAAATATTAAATGAGAAAAGAAATACACTATATAATACAACTTTGTCAGAACAAGTGACACCTTGATATGCTGTCAAATTTCCGAATTTTCATGAAATTATTCGATTAACGGCATGGGTACTAAGATTCATTAACAACTGTAGAAAAATGGTTAATGAAAGACAAAAAGGCGAATTGTCCATCACTGAGATAGAGAATGCTGAGATTCTTTTAATTCAATAAGTGCAATCCAAATTTTTTGAAGAGGTTAGTTCAATTCTCAATAGATGTGTCTTTAAAGATGAAAAAGGTATTTTTCGTATCAAGACAACCACGGAAAGAATCGATAAGTCAGCTTTCCGATCTCCTATTCTTCTACCTGATAAATTTTTATTCACCAAAAGACTTCTTCAACATTTTTATCAAAAATCCATCACGCAAGAAGTCAAATACTGCTCAACATATTTGGAGAAAAGTTTTGCATTTTAAGAGATAAAAAAACAGTGAGAAGTACTTTAAACTATTGTGTTGAATGTAAGCGTTTTAAGGCTAAAATTTTAGAGCTAAGCCTGTAGCTTTACCTTGTGACAGAACAGGATATTCAGAAATTTTTGAAATCGATCTGGCAGGCCCGCTTTATGTAAAGCAAGAGGATAAAGTTTGGATTGTGCTGCTCGTTTACTTGCCCTCTTTTAAGAGTTTTTGAGATGGTTACTTCCTTAACAACAGTGTCTTTTGTTATGTTTTATAGCAAGAAAGGAAAGACCTAAAATAATTTATTCAGATAATGGAACTAACTTTAGAGGGGCATTTAATTTGTTATGTGAAATTGATTGGAACAAAGTAGTTAAAGAAAGAAAAATAGATAGAATTTCTGTTCTGTTGTCTCTTGAGGGACTAGTTTGAACTGTCAAGATCTTCTCAACAAAACACTAGGGAAAGCCATACTTACGTAGGAAAAATTGATAACAATTTTACATGAATGCAAAACACTTGTAACCTATTTATCGAAAGATGTGGAGGACTTAACACCTTTGTCGTTTTTATCAGATAGAAATAATTTTTAAGTGTCTGATATAGACACACTTGAAAAAAGAGTAAGATTTCATCTGAAGTTAAAAGGGAAACTGAGCACAAAGACCCTCGTAATCGTAAGGTTAGGGTGGGTGAAATTGTCTTTATCGGAAATGTTAAAAAAGGGCAAAACTGGCCCTCAGACAGAGTAGTTGATTTAATTCATGGGAAGGGTGGAAAAGTGAGAGGGGTTAAATAAGAGATTCAGACCAATGAAGAACTTTGGGAAGAAACTTTATCTTCCTGTGAAGGAACCAGTGTCGCCTGCTGAGCTACCACATACAGCAACATCACCTCAACTCAGGGTTGGCAGGTTTTTGACATGTGACAGTTTTTGACAGTTTAAACCATGGTNGGAAATGTTAAAAAACGGCAAAACTGGCCCTCAGACAGAGTAGTTGATTTAATTCATGGGAAGGGTGGAAAAGTGAGAGGGGTTAAATAAGAGACCAATGCATTAATATGTCCCATACAAAGAATTTTTCAATTAGAACTTTGGGAAGAAACTTTATCTTCCTGTAAAGGAACCAGTGTCGCCTGCTGAGCTGCAACATTACCTCAACTATAAAAAGACTCTTAATAGATGATCTATAAAAGTGCTAAAATATACTTGAGATGTGATAAATATTCTGAGTTAGTGTTAAAAGGGGGAGCGTGTGGAGAGTGGTTTCAAAGCGTATATGATTTGGTTGGATTGATCTGCATTAACCTTGAACCAGCAGATGGCTAAATGAATTCTGAGAGAAGAGCTCAAATTATTAACTGTAGTTTTGATTTTCTTTGTCTCTTTATATGTGTTCCTTAATAATGTGTTTGTATACATTCAGGATTTGTTTTATTTTTATTGACCTGCTATGAAACAAAGGATAGATGTTTACTCGTTTACCTATTCAGATAATTTAGAACTGGCCATATGCAACAATAAAAATTGTAGAAATTGAATTCATTTTTTATATTTTTATATAGCTTTATTTTAAAACCTTATACAGGCATATAAAACTACAGACTAGTAAAATATTTTGGTTACTAATCAATTAGGGCCAGTGCCAACATTTTCTTTTGTACCACTACCTTATCAATACCAAAAACCAAAGCTTCTCCCTTTTCAGAATGAAAGTGATGTACTATGTACATTTCAAAAAGAAACAAAACAGAATAATGTTGCAAAGATGCTGCAACAACAAAGATTTGTTTTAGAGGAAGAAAAAAATTGCTGAAAAATATACAGCAAAAAAAAAAATATGAAATGAAAAACATTATATTTATAACATGTAGAACACACACAAAAGTAGAAAAAAAACTAAACTCATGTGAAAACTTTGTATGTGTATGTACAAATCCTATAACTTCAGCTATATTATTTCTTGAAGTTTCATTGCTGATAAAAGTTAACCATATCGAAATTCTCATTTACCCTGTGTATTGTATTCATATGCATTTATAGATCAATGTAATAAAAATGGTGAAATATAAGCAAAAGCAAAAACTTTTTTAAAACGAGAACACCATCTTTTACAACTTACAAATACTAAACTACATTTCAACACTATTATTTTTCAGAAATTAACATGAATTTTATTTTCAAAATGACATGCATTCCACATTTTTTTTTGCAAACAATCTGAATGGATTTAATAATCTAAGTGGATATGAATGTAATATAACCTTTCTTAGAAGCTTTAGTGATCTTGGGTTTCTTGGGATTACTTTTCCCGCCTTTCATATGAGATCCTTGAGGCATTTTAAAAGGTTTTCTAAATATAAATGGCTAGATTTAAAATGAAGTTTTTGAATTTTTTGTTTGTTTAGAAACGCTCTTAGCTGCCTATTTCTGCTATTCAAACAGTACACTACGCAACCCACTTTCTTAAATAAAAAGCTTGTAGTAGTAGTAGTAGTAGTTAATTTACGTCACACTAGAGCTGCACAATGGGCTATTGGCGACGGTCTGGGAAACATCCCTGAGNCAGACCTTAACTTACATAGTTATCGCTGGTTTTTTAACAGAGAGCAATAACACATTCATTTTTGTTTCCTTCAGTTAAAATACTCATACTATTTCATTAAAAATACTTATTCTATTTTTTTAAAAATCATCAATATTTTCTTTTTTTAATGGAGGGCACTTGGAACTATAGTCCATTGGCCACAGAAAGTGCCAGAACTGCTAACTCTCTTTTCGTTTCCCAGTGGGCACCTGTGGTGAAGCCACGGCGGTGGAGCAGCGTCGCCCACGTCTCACTACCACAACCCATTTATAGGGCTGGTCACATTCACACACAAAGGAGAAAGGACATAGAACACAGATTGAGAGAAAGAAACATCCATGCCTTGCCCGGGATTTGAACCCAGAACCTTTCTGATGCAAGGACAGTTCCCTGCCCCCTACACACGCCGGTCGGCCTTCCGAAAATTTAATAAATTAAAAAATAATTTTAGTCTCTCATGATCGTGCGCATGATGCAGTGAATTGATAAACGTATTTCTTTTCATGTTAATGTTGTTCCTTAATGACTTCCAAATTATGATCAGTTCAAGATAACAAATTCAATCAGAAAGTACTGATCAACTTTTAGCTATCATTCATACCGTATAGATAAATTCAAAATATAAATTACACTATATATTTGTTTAATTAAGTCAAATTTTATGATGCTTACTATTATAAAATCTGCATTTTGAGTTTAACATTTTAATTGTTTATTAATTTTCCTTGAAAATTGTCTTTATGCTGTATAAACAAATTTTAATTTGTAATTAATTATTGTAAATTAATTGTTGATCCTTAAATAACAAACTTAAAGCTTTTTCAAGTGAAAAGGTTTAATTGCCTAGCAACTATTAAATGTGATAAAATAAGTTAAACAATTTTTGAAATATTTTTGTAATTTTACAACCTTCAATTTACATAAGGTTATTATTGCAATAAGTTAATTATCACAATAAGTTAAATAATACAATAAGTTAATTCTTACAATAAGTTAACTAATACAGTAAGTTAATTATTACAATAAGTAAATTTTTACAATGTATATAAGTTATTGCAAATGTATTAAACGTTTAATGGAAGAGCAATTGCTCTAATAGATTTTCGTTTGAGTGAATTAACTATATCTGATCAGTAACAATTAGATAAATTATAACTGTGCTTTATAATAATTGTCGAGGTGGAGATATTTCCTATCTGGTACCTGCTAACACTAACTACTTTTGTCAAGGTGCTAAAGGATCTTTTAACTAGCAAATATGTATATATTTTTATACATATAGTGATTTTTGAAATGGTAGCTACAAATTGATCACCGTCTGTTTTCTTTTCTTTTCTCACAAGCTACTACCTGGTTGCTGCCAAAATTAAGCACTTTTTTGGCTTGGCACTGGTACCGATACAAAAATCTTTCCATAATTCTAATCTTTACTGGTAAAAACCTAATTTTTACCTAATGTTAAGTTATGGAACAGTAAACGATGTCAGAAACTTTTTCACAAATAACAACTTTGCCATTATGTACCCAAATATTTACATAATTGTTTTAATATATACTATCAAATGTAAATTACTTAAAGTTGTAATGCATATCTTTAAGTCTTGGCTTGTGATGAAACTAAAAAAACAAAATTTTGCACTTATGAAATATTAAAAATATGTTTAAAAAAACTTTGCGCCATACAGATTTGTACTTTTTTTTATTCTTATCCATTCAGCATCCATATTTTTTTCAATACACCTGGATACCTGTATATAATCTGGAGATATTTATAACTAAAGAAAAACTAATTGCTGAGCCACTATTTTATAAAACAATTATTTAATAGAAAAATCACATAAATGAGAAACCACAATTGTATTCAAAATGGCAATTTTAGTAATGAGGGTCATTGTGTCAAAGCCTGTGATGGCTAGTAACTAGCATGATACACTTTTGATTACCTAGCTTCTATAAATATATATTATCAAATTTTTATCCTTCATTTTAAGTCATATTTTGTAAAATATCTCATAACTTTTTTATCTTCTAAGATACACTTTTTAAATTTTAATTAGTTGAAATGAATTAAAATACAATGTCACCAAGATTTGGGTTTTTGACATGATGGTTCATGTGTCAGAAACTTGCCAACTCTGGTTTTGCAGCTTAAATTTCTCCAGATTTTCCCAGAATCTTCTTCCATTGGTTGGGGCCATTCTATGTATTCTTTTGTCCAATTCTTTGGTTTTTCTAAACTATTCTGATCTGATTGGGGAGACCACAGCATTATTTTGAGAATTCCTTTGCTGTTCTTTCGATTTTAAATAATTGGTACTAAATTTTGAAGTATGCTTTGGGTCATTATCTTGTTGAAAGATAAGCCTTTTGTAAACTTTTGAAAAACGTATACCAGATAGCACGATATGATGTACTAATATTATATGATAAACTTATTTATCCCATGTAATCTTCACTTTTCTGCCAACATTTTTTATACTATATAATGATTTATCAACTTTTAACCCTCAAAACCACTGTGTTATAAGCACAAATTGCATTATTTGCATTTTATTTGCATTCTTCAGTTTTATTAATAGTTAAGGATTAGAAGAATAATATTAAATGTAGAAATGAAATTTAATAATTAAAATCTATGTTATACATCAAATTTTAATTTCAATTTGATTGTTCAAGAAAGGAAAGAATTTACGCAATCTTACTTTAGTCTCTTTTTATGTGTAAATAATCATTAAAAATTCACACAAAAATATGGATATAACGAATAGTGATTTGGCCTAAGACTGAACATTCGGCTAAAATAAATAGCTGTTTAAAAAAATTCATGAATAAATATTATTTTATATAGAAATAAGTTTATATGTACAGTTATTATATAGGATATTTTTTACAGTCATTATTGAAAAATAATTTAAACTTAGCCGTGTATTATTGGTACCGGTAAAAAGGGAAAAAGCAAGATATTGAGATGTAACTTAGATATAATTAAATACATATTATGATGATTGGAAACTTTAATATGACAAAACTGACTAACAGTTCTTACATTAAGTTGTATTTTTTTTTACAGACAAAAATTTACCTCTTAATTCTTGAAACAGAACTTCAATGCTAAAAATAATATATTTCCCGAAAACAAAATTATCCATAAAACATTAAAAGAGATAAAGTCTACTAGAAACACTTAAAAATGCAGCTCTATCATAAAAACGACTATAAAAATGAAAGATTATATGCAAAAGCAAAACAGAAAAAATATAAATCGATCTTAATTTTTGAAAGAAAATTTTGAAGCTAAACATTTCAGTTTTCAATCACCGTATTGTCAAGAAAAGTTGAAGATTTAAGCGTAATAGAAACTCTCTTATTTTCGCGTCATAATAGAAACGTCTATAAAAACAAGTTTTTTGAAAAAGAAAAAGCTAGGTAGAAACCAAAACAGAAATCGCTCCCAATGTTTAAACGAAAGATTTAACGTTAAAAATCTTAATTTAACTTTCTCACATTGCCGTATTTTTAGAAAAAAAAGTGACCATAAAAGATTAACGTTCATTGGAAACGCTCCTTAAAAAATGCTGTCATAATAAAAACGCTGATAGAAAAAAAAGTTAATAAAAAAAATCTAAGGAGAAACAGGAGGAAAAAAAAAGTTTTTGGTTCTGAAATATAGCTTAAACGTTGAGAATCACAGTTTCCCGTATTAGTCTTACCAAACAAGAAGAAAGTGACAATAAAAGAATGAAATCTATTAGAAATTCACCATTAAAATGCTTCGCTTCAAATAAAACAGAAAAACAAGCAAAAATGAAATAAAGAAAAGATCTCAAATTTTGAAATATAAAGTGTTAAAAAACGATGAAACTGTCTTGCCTGAATATAATTTTTTTTAAAATCAACATTTCAAAATTTATGGTTTTGTATAAAGTAATCTAGTTTCCATTCTTCAAATTTCGCTATTCCATTGTCTTTCAGAACATAAATTAACAAATATTAGAACTTACTATGTGTAAAAACTATTTCTAATAATGTGTAGTAAAAACTAGTAAACTTTATCGTTTTCCAAATAATACTTAACCGAATATTTGGCCAAATATTCAACCAACCGAATATTTTGCAGAATAGCCGAATACCGAATAGTGGCCGAATATTCGTTACATCCCTAATAAAAAGTTGAAATAAATTACAGACGTGTACCTGTATTTTCTTAATGTTTAAAAGTATCACATGAAATAATGCAAAAATAAAATCGTTCTGTTATTTAAATAGGGGATGAAAAGGTATGCTTTTTTTCTTAATTTGAAATAATTGAAACCATTAGACTATGAATATATAGATGAGTTGGTTCCTAATGTCTGCTTAAATTGGCTGAACTATAATTTGACATCTCCTGTCTTATTTTAAATACTAACTCTAGGTATGACCCTAATGGGTTAGACGCTTTGTCTTACTACAAAAAATTACTTATAAGAAAGAGAAAAATAAAATTGTTCTGAGCAAAAAGATTCCATAAATGCTTGAGTCCTGGTTTCGGAATCATTTTCTATATTTCAATTTGAAACTTTTGTTAAAGATTATAGTTATTTTTTTTATAATAAATTATTCTATAGTTTCCGTAAGTTACGCGAAAGCTTATTTTAACATATTTCATGTAGAAAATATGAATTCGCAATTTGATCGAAAATATCGGGTACACGAGTTTTTTAAGCACAGAAGACTCATTATTTTATTTCATTTTTTAAAATTCGCTGAATCTTAATAGCGCTAAGAATGTCCTAAATAAGGTTTTGAATATTCCAAACCCTTGCAAAAATATGAAATGGAACTGCCTAGGATTAAAATATCACCGAAACCCTTATAAATGCTTGTATTTCAAGACCATTTTTTTTTTACATTGTTAATATTCTACTTTGTTTAAAATCTAAT